TAGTTTCTTTCACTTCTTTCCATTTACAGTCCACTGACATTTTTAACATGCCTATGTTCAGAATATGAAGCACACAATCGAACTAGAAACCTGTGTATTCCTGTGTATTACAGAGAGCATTGTTTCTGTCCCAAATACCACACGGAGGCTCTTCAGTGAATCATAGAACTACAGACTATTGGCAGGCTTTCTCCTATCTTATTCTTCACTGCGAACCATAGACATCATGATAGGAATCACCTCCACTCTCACTTTCCCAATGGGCCATCACTATACCGCCCAGTCCAGTACTTGATACTGGATTTTTGACTGCGCTTATCAGATAGATATGTGTCAGTCTGTTTCTACTTTCCTTGTGATGTACCTGACTGCCTTTTTTTTATTTTAAAAACAATTTTACTTTTTTCTGTATGTCTGTGTGTCTGAGTGTGCACACATGCATGCAGGTGTTCACGGAGGCCAGAAAGATCACCAGATCCCTTGGAGCTAGAATAATAGGCAGCTGTGGGCCGCCTGATGTGGGTGCTGGGAATGGTACTCTGGTCCTTTGGAAGAGCAGCAAGTGCTTTTAACCACTGAGCAAATTCTCTAGAAAGTGTTGCCTTTTCACCAATAGGAAACATGCTTCGGATGAGTTCAGTAGGCTACAGCAGGTCCATGGCTGTGACAAGACAGCTAGGACTCGTAATGAGAAGGTGTTCATAGGGATACTGGAGTGTAGATGTGCTTCAGAGAAGCAGTCACATCTACAGTGGCTATTACCATGTGCCTGTCCTGTAAGAATTGCTGGATCTCTGATCCTCTTAATTTTCAAGCTCCACTGATTTGTGTCTTTTTTTTTTTTTTTTTAATTTTTTTTATTTTTATTTAAGGCTGGAGAGATGGCTCAGCAGTTAAGAGCACTTGCTACTCTACCAGAATACTCGAGTTTGGTTCTCAGCCCTCATATGGCAGCTCACAACCACTTGTAACTCCAGTCACAATAAAACCATGCAAATAAGGTAATGTTAAAAATGGATGCATGTGTTTCCCTGCACATCTGGATACCATGGGCATGCCTAGAGGTGGACGCCACAGAGCTGACATGACAGTGAGACTCCGTGTGGGTGCTGGGAATCAACCCTGGCTCCTCTGGAAGAGCAGTAAGTACTTAACCATGGAGCCATCTCTCTAACCCCAATTTGTAACTTTAAAAGAGATCATTTTATTATTTTTTAAAATCGTGGTTTGTGCGCACATGAGTGCAGGTGCCCTCAGAGGCCAGAAGAGGGCACTGGATCCTTTGGAGCTACAGCTAACTGGTAGCTGTGAGCCACCTGATTATGGGTTGTGGAAGCCTAGCGTGGGTCCTCTGGAAGTGGATGGAGAACACATTCTTTTAACCTCTGAACCACCTTTTCAGCTCTGGGTGGTTTGTATCTTACCCCACTTTGTAGCATCTATTGCCCTCAGCACTTAATACCAGTGGTAACTATATCCCTATACCATGTGCATTTTTACACAAAAGCCCAAATAAGTTACTTTTCATCAATAGGAACTGAGACCATTGGCTTTTTAAATTTTTTTTATTTTTTCACTCATCGTTTATTTACAAATACACATTATAACTTTTATGTACATTGCACATTTACATGGTAGAAAAGTACAAAACTATATATTTAAATGAATTTATATTTAACTTGCCATGTTTGAAAATATAAAATTGCATCAGAAAAAAGTATTATGAAAAGCAAGAAACTTGAACTGATAAAGCTTTGATGGAACTTTTAGTGACACATTGGTTGAAAAAGAACTAATTGAAAAGGTACAGCCGACTCCCTCAAAGGAAACACCGAATGACAGGTTGAAAGTGTACTTTCACCTCTGTGTAGTCTCCTGACACCCACATCACTAGGTCTTTGGATCTGTAACATCCTAAAAGTACAGTTCTAGAATTTTAAAGCCTCTCTCACAATGTTTTCATCAGAACAAGGGAACGGAAGCAGACGTTTCCTCCAAGATGCATATCCTCTGTACCTGGTATCGGAGGCAGAGTTATAATGCCTTTTGGTCAGTCAAGATTCCTTGTAAACAAAACCCGAAGGATCAGGTATGTACAGAGTAGGCCGCTGAGAATCCAATAAATAAACATGACAGGAACTGACATGCAAATTTGTTAAAAAGTGGAAGAAAAAAATTCTAACAGCAGTGAAATGAAGAGAAGGCAGGTGAGTGAGTGAGTGGATTGTAAGGAATGGACTTCAATGGTTTACAAGGGGGAAAAAACGGTTTTACTTTACAAGCAAGAGACCTCACAATAAATAACAACTGCTCTTCCTTTCACGAATAAATTTCTTCAAAAACAAGGTGTACAGTCAACCAGACATTTTATGTATAAATTATAAAACATGACACAGTATAAATAAACGTCTACACGTCTCAACTATAGGCCTCATCCAGTAGACCACAAAATGACAATCTCTCCAGGCCCTGTGAGTAACAGTGTGGTCTGGGAGAGAGCTTTAGGACAAAGGTCCTTTCATGTATACTTTTCCCCCCAAATAAATAAGCATACACTTATTTACATTATGGACAATATATTTTTTCTTTTTGTTATTTTCTTTTCTATCTTTTTTCTTTTTTTTTTTCATTTTTCTTTTCATTTGTTGTGTTTTGTTTTGCCCAAGGGCTATGTCAACACTGAACACTGCTGGAGGGTTTACCACTCTAGAATGGAAGAGATAGGAAAGCTGTAGTCCTGGTCTTCTTCCTCCTCCTCTTCCTCCGTATCTTCCGAGATGGCTAGATGGGGGAATACAGGGGGAGCTGTTGTTTAAATTCGGATAACAACAGCGCAGAAGCAGCTCAGTGTACGTTTTCAAAGCCCTCTGATACAGCCACATTACAGCGTTGTATTTTTACATGACTTGCAGTGTGATGCTTTTGGTTTTTTTTTTTTGTTTTGTTTTGTTTTGGGCATCTGCAGTTATGCAGTAAGTTTACTCAAACACAAACAAACAAACAAACCACCATAATCTATGAAGTCAAAATTGCAGAAAGTTCTGAAGAATCAATGGCTCAGGTTTTACAGGCAGATTCCTGAAATCAGATAAAAAGCGCTCGTGTTCTAGGTATAACTGCTTTTTTCCCTTAAGTCAGAGTTAGTAGCCGCAACTGCCATAAGCCGCAGCCTAGGTGTGATAATAATATAAAGCTGTCTTTGGAAAAAAAAAAAAAAAAAAAAGAAAAAACAAAACAAAATAAAATCAACCCACAAACTTTTGAAGCGGTTAGTTTAGGTTCCAGGGTTCATGAGGCAACAGCAGAGCACAATACTAGAAGGAAGGAAGGAGCGACAGACAACTGGAGAGGTTTTCAGAGGCACCCCAATGGGAGGCCATCAGGTGGATCCTAGAAGCCAGGAAACATTGCAGAGAATTTGGCTGAGGCTCAACGAATTGCTGGTGTAATGCAGCAGCTACCTAGCCTTTTAACAGAAACAGGCTTACACAGCGAGGTCCGCGTGTTTTTTTTTTTTTTTTTTTTTAAACTGTCCATTCCCCAGGGCTTGCCCGAAAGTGCCCTTACATTGCAGCAAGGTTTAAAAATCGCACTTACAGTTGCAAGAGCCGGAGTGCTTCACTTCGAGCAGCACACCAGAGGAGCAGGCCGCTTCCTTCATGGCACACTCGCTGGCATACGTGGCATTGTCGCTGGCACAGACTGGCTCCTCCGATTGACTCTCCGGGCAGAGCTCGTCACAGAGGGAACAACGGCCTCGGCCAACTTTGAAATCCCACAGGCATTTTTTTCCACCACCGCACTGGATGTCGTCACAGGACTTTGCTTCTAGGATATAATACACCTGTGATGAGCAAACTGAGTGTCTCATTTCCTCTCTTTTTTACCTTTCCTCCATTCCCTACTCATAGATGTACACATTATACATCTTATCACTTACTAAAGGGGGTAATGAAGGTGTTATATTAAACTGCTTTACAATCACACACACACACACACACACACACACACACACACACACACTGTGGTTTCTTACATTATATAGAACTTCATTAAACACAATATTCTTTGAAACAGAATTTCACAAAATCCGTGAGTGAAACAGGCATCTGATTACTTCCTATAAGTGGGATTAAAAAAACTAAAGTTCCATCAATTACTGGAATCTGATAACAGGTTTTAGGAACTGTTAAGTAATTATTTTTCGCTTCCAGCAAGTCTAGCACTTTAAAAAAAATGTGTAAAATTGTGTGAGTTCTAAGTTTTCTAAGATAGAAAACTGCTTTCTGCCAGTGAATCTAGAAGACAATGGTTCTCCAGGAGGAATGTTTTAGTTAAACAGTTTCCACCTAAACTGAGGACTTGGAATTACTCATTAAATAGCCCCACACAATTAGAACAGATCTCCCTCCCACCCCCCTGTTTCTTTTCTTTCCTCAATCCAGAATACCTACTGATACATTTTCCCTCATAGGCTAATCCAATCGATCTGCCCAGCAAACAGGTGGCCTTTCTCAGGTGGCAGGCACTAGAGTAAGTCACTCCATCATTTCCACACAGGTACTGCTCCGCAGAGGAAGGCTCTGGGCAAATCCGGTTACAGGTCACACAGTAGGCATTATTCGTCTGGTCTACCACACAGGTGGAGCTGCCTGGACAGAAAACATCCCGGCAAGTCTCTGGAGAAAAGAAAAAAAGAGGGAGACATTTCAATAGGCACCTTCTGGTCTTTAGGGAGTCATCAGTTGATATTATGAAGGAAATTGTTAAAGCGTAGCATCCAGATTTTAACAGGCATTTGGGGAGCCCGGCTGTTTCCCGGAGGATCTGTGACTCCAGACTGGCTCCTTCGTTACCCTTTAGGAGTTAGAAAAGAGCCCCTTATTTGGTATCACTATTCTGATTCCGGGGCTCTTTATGGAGACTGTCTATGAATGTGTAAGATACTGAAGGGCGGGACCTACTTTTACATTTGCCCTGGTACTGGACTTCCAGTTCCGGCTGCTCTTTACATCTGGCCTTAAGGAGTGCACATTCGTTGCGGTAGGTTTTCCCATCCAGCCCACACACTGGACCCTTCCAGGTGATGTTGGAACAGTCTGGGGCACAGACGCAGCGGGGTTTATTCTTCTTGTTCATACGACACTTTTTTCCAGGTCCGCAGTCCACATTCTCACACGTTTCTAGGAGTTGGAAAGAGGCAGGGATTCAAACCAAGGCCAGGCGGTTGGCGGGTCAGACCGGGGTGGGGTGGGGTGGGGGTCTCAAATGCCCTTGCGCAATCATGCATCCGAGATGGAGGGCCCCAGGCTGTCTTCCTGGAAGACTGGAAGGGATGGGGGTTGGGAACCTCAGGCCAGGTCCTGTATCCAAATTCTCTCAAAAGACCACACGGGTTGGCCGCTTTCACTACAACACTGAGCTAAGAAGCCTGGGGGGACCGACCTCTTCCGACCTTGTTTTGCCTTACAGCGCGAGCTGGATTTCACCTAGCTAACTCCACCATGGGGGAACATGGAGAAACCGAACAAAATTCTGCCAGTCCTAAGCCCCAGCCAGACGGTGGGAACGCTGAGGGCAAGACGCCCTCTACTGAGGGCCTGCCGCCTAGGGAAGAGGAGGCCCACCTTTACAGGGGATGCAGTTGGGGGCGCCCCCGTTGAAAATCATCCACTTGAAGAGAGTGTTGTCGTTCACGTCCTCCTCGGTCCACGAGGTGCTCAGTCGGCCGGTGCTGCAGCACTCTTCTTTGCTCAGCTCGGTCTTATACAGGACCTGGCAGCGGCCGTTCTTGGCTTGGCGGAGCCAGCAATTCCCAGCTGTGAAGGAGGAAGAGACA